GGTTCGAATGACTGGTACTCATGTTCTGGAATTGCTTAATTCTCATTCCTTGACCATACAAGCAAATGGTGAGCCTATAGAGGATGAAAACATTGAGAAGGCTTGTAAGAAAAAGAGCATATTCTTTCGTTTGCCATATTGGGAGTACAATTTGGTGAGGCATAATCTTGATTTGATGCACATAGAGAAAAATGTTTGCGATAACATACTGAACACGATAATGAATGTCCAAGGGAAAACGAAAGACAATTTGAAAGCCCGTGAAGATTTGGAATTGATGGGTATAAGAAAGGGTCTTCATCTTATTAAGCAAGGTAATGGAAAAGATAAGATGCCCCCGCTTATTATGCGTTGTGCAAAACAAAGAAAGAGCAAATGCTTGCTACTTTGAAAATGGTGAAAGTACCTGATAGTTATTCGTCGAACATATCTAGTTGTGTAAAGACGGATGCTAAAAGCATAATGGGCCTCAAAAGTCATAATTGTCACATCTTACTACACGATCTACTTCCTGTAGCGGTGAGGGACTGCTTGCCTGACAAGGTGAGTAGGGTTATTATCGATTTGAGCACTTACTTATGAGAGATATGCTCAAAAGTTCTTGAAGTAAGCCGGTTGGATGTGCTAGTAGCAGAAATCGGAGAAATATTGGCACGGATGGAGATTATATTTCCACCATCATTTTTCACTATCATGGTACATCTGGTCTGTCATTTAGCTGAGGAGGTAAAACTGGTTGGGCCGATTCATTATCGATGGATGTACCCTATTGAGAGGTATGTGTTTCTTTTAATCATAGAAGGTGAATCATGTTATGGTTGAAGAAACAGTATCATAATTCAAAACTTCCTCTTAGCAGCTCTGAGTTCATAACTAACGTCATAATAAAAGGGCGTCTAATTCTTAGTTTCCAACCATACAAGTATATTGCTTGCCTTGAAGGTTGCCTAATAATAGAGATAAGGATCTATTATGCTCGTACAATTGAAAGTACTATACTTACAACAGGTTGTCAGAACTAACAGCATTCGGATGCCTTTATGGTTTCTAATCTATTGATATTGTATGCTCTTTCACTGTAGTTTTCTGCTCTTTACTAGTTGGGAGAGCTTATTAATCTTTTTATTGTTAATTCAATCAACATAAATGGATATGACATGAGCTCTACATAACTTACCAAATAATATAAGTAAACATGTGAATTCCTAAAGCTGAATTTGCTTCATGATGTTGTTATTCAACTCTTGCTAAGATTATATCCATTGTTCCCTTTAAATTATTCTTTTTATCTTATGGAGGTTTTAGTTATGAATGTTAAATTCCTAGTGTACCACTGCATTATTTTAATAAGCTTTAATGTGATTTGGATTTTCTCAACACAGGTACTTGATGACACTGAAAGCTCATGTTAGAAATAGAAACTATCCGGAAGCTTCAATCGCTGAATGGTAAATTGCAAATGAATCTATTGAATATTGTTCTAGATATTTCACAGGTGTCAACACAAGATTTAATAGAGTGCCTAGAAATGATGATGGGGGGATCATGTGCAAATAGAAGATAATCCAGTAATTACAGCACCCTGTCGTTCGTTCGCAAAGTGAATGATGTTGAACTTGATCCTAAAACATGGATGCAAGCACATAGGTATGTGTTATACAATTCAACAAAAGAGGTTCAGAAATTCATCAAGTACGTAGTCTTTTTCTCTTACATCTATCCTTTTCATATGCGGTTGTCTTTTGTTTTATGCTAATCTCAAACTTATTTGATTGATAGAGAGCATCGAGACATAATTAAAGGAGGTTGTATGAGGAAAGGTCGTAAGAGAGGTCGTTCTGACCATGAAATTGAACAAACACATCACTCAAAGTTTGTGGACTGGTTCAAAAATAAAGTGAGAGTAACATTTCTTCAAAATTGATTTTTGTCTACAGATATAGTATTTTTGTTTGCGAAATGAATGTTTTATATGAAATTGACCTAACCACCATTATTTTTAGGTATCTAAATTAGAAGCAGAGCATGATCCTCTAGCTTCTGATCATGTAAAATTGCTAGCTCGAGGCCCGTATAGAGTGGCAAGACAATTCCATAGCTATATCACTAAAGGATTCAGATTCCGTACAAAAGCTCGTGGAAAAAAGAAGAAAACACAGAACAGTGGTGTTTTCGTAGCATCACAGACGTCACAGTCTGATGGTGATACAATTTATTATGGTCGGGTGCTTGATATGATTGAGTTAAACTATTATGAAAGGTTCAAAGTAGTTTTATTCAAGTGTGAATGGGTCGATGTTGAAAAGGGAAAAGGCGTTATGAAAGATCGGTTTGGATACACATTAGTGAACTTTTCAAAGTTGGTTCAGACAGGATCTCATGTGGCAGATGAGCCTTTTGTTTTTGCATCTCAGGTTGAGCCTATATTCTATGTTGAAGACTCACAAAAACCAGGATGGTGTGCCGCTTTACGGACAAAACCTCGGGATACATATGACATGCGTGATGAAGTGGATCCTCACCAACCTCATATTGATATATCATATCGGTCAACTTCAACAGCAGACTTCCCTATTGGAGAAGAAGAAAATTGGAATCGCAAGGATGTTTCTAGTAGACGTCAAAAATAGCAATGTCCGAAGAAGAATTATGAACTTGTGAGTTTTTTTATTTTTTCCTTCTTCATTGATTATAGAAATGAGCTGATAATTAGTATGTCATATATGGTTTCCTTTTTCCTCTCCGATCTGGTTTGATGCTGCTGGGACATTTCTTCTGCTCGATTGTGGCTTCAAATCTACAGTGTCAGCCTCTCCGGTTTTGGTTTGTTGCTGCTGGGTTGTTTTTTCCTTGCTTGGCTCCTCTCTGACCCTCTAAGACAGTCCGTTCCTTTTCATTCGTTGTTCTCTCCCTATAGTGTTGCCTTCTTTGCTGTTGCTTGCAGTCGGGGCTGCTTGTCTCTTTTTTGTTTGTTCTTTCTATATTTTCATGGCTGTTTATTTAATAAATGAGGTCACCATTTCAAAAGAATAAAGTATTTTCAATTGGTTGGTTTTGACGAGAGAATTTGCCATCTGGTCTTTTGCTTTTTCTTTTGGTGGTTACTTCCGGATTTCCAACTGTAGACTTTTAGCTGAGTCTGGTTTCGGAACTTGTTTGTTTAGAATGAGTATTGCGATTAAGGATTATACTTTGCTAGGTTATTAATTTTGTTAATGCAAATGTTTTTGGTCAAAATGGTATCATTCGCTCATTCTGTCGTCCATCAATTATCATGATCTATTTTTCTCTTAAGCCATAGTATATACAATTAGTTTACCACCATTTTGATATGAGCTTTCCACACCTCTTTTTGTAATATGGTTCTTTCCATTAGAAAGTTTTATGCTGAATTAGACAAATATGTAAAGAGAAAGAACGTACTTTTTGCTGAATTATCTCGTAGACAGATCAACAGTGGCTCTTTGACTGATTGGTTACACCAAAATGGTATTGGTGTTGTGAATTTGTGTTATAAAGAGTCATACGGAATCCAAATGAAAATGAAATTCCATTGTCCTAAATGATAGGATCACTTGTTTATTTTTTTCAATGTGACATGCATATGATATCTACAAGTAGATCCATAACGCAACCAATTAGATGGTGTGTGGTCTTACTTCCCATTGTTTTTTTAAGTCTGTTATCTGTTGTGGTAGTCTATTGTTATTCTGAATTAAGAAAAAGTGAGAATCTAAGCATAGTTCAGTGTTGAGGAAGTAGAGGAAGTTTACAATTCTGGATTCTCCATACTCTAGAAGTTAAGAGCCATCTTTCAATCGTATAATCTGCTCATCTAGGTTGTACTCTCTGGTTTGAACCTGGTATGTTCCTTCTCTTGAGTTGATCTTTGAACTCTTTGGTGAAAATTAGTCCTTAATTAGTTCTCAGATGTGACTCGAGTGATCAAGTCCCTTGACTGTCTCTTCTCTGTGGTTGATCCGGATCTTCGTTTGGTTCTCATGGTTGTGCATGGAGAGTGTTGGCTCCTCTGATCGGGTCGTCTTGTTGTTGTTGGCTCGTCTCTTTGCGGATCTGCTTTGTCCTATGTGGAGCTTTTGTTGTCGACTGTGGCATTTTGTTTTGTTGGCAATTTCATACGTCACTTCACTTGGTTGAAACAATCACAGCATTGAGGATGCTTTCACAGAATGACGGAGACACGATGATGTTTTATGGGTTGGAAGATAATGTTTGTGAGGGACTTGTTGGGATGAATGTATGCGAGTGTATGAACATTAGATTTTGTTAATTGAAGTTGACTTTGCAGGCTGTTTTTGCAAATATTAGACGTACTTTTGTGACGGGTTTTACTTATATGCCAAGCTTGGATCTTTCTGACTCGTAGATGTTTTGTGAATGGATAGCTACTGGTTTTATGTATTGCAAAGGCTTGAAATTTGTATTCTATGGTATACTGTACTGCTACTTAATTAATTAAAGGAACCTATTTTCATGAGTTTGAGCAGGCTGGAATTTCACATTCTCTAGACTAACTGCTACTTTATATCACCGCTGCTGGCTTTATCATTCTCTAGACTTGTATTGCGAAGTCTGAAAATTTCTTGTTTTATGTATTAGATCAAACACAATTTTGGAAGAGAAACACAACATTTATTATTTAAAATTGGAACAAGTCAAGGTTACATACTACTGTCTAATACAGAATACAGGCTCCATCTAAACACAAACACTACGAAACAAAAACAACCATCTAATCAGAAACACTAGCTAGCGGGATACATCTCTCACTACTATCTAATATCATTCAACTTAATAGTCTAAACCAAGTTTGCCTTCCACGCAATTCATTCGTTTCTTCAACTCTCTAATTGCTTCCTCAACATCAACACCATGCGAACCAAAGTTGTTAGCAATCGTGGAGGAGGATGGTTGGCTATCAACAGCATCACGAAGTCGACTACGAAGCTTCTTGTTCTCTTCTTCAAGATCAACAAGTCGGATTCGCAGTTTGAGAACCAATTTTGAAAGTTCTTGCTCCCGGACTTAATGGCATGAACATCACACCCTTTGAAGTTATTAAGTTGAATGCCAAACAATTTGAAGCGATTCTCTAAGGTGAAAACATCAAGTTATTGACACTAGCCAATTCAAACAGAAATGAGAAAGGGAAAATAAAGAAATAACAAACCAAGGGCCTTACGGTCGGAATTCATTGAAGGCAAATATGATGGCCGTGAACGCTTGTTGGTCCAATCTGTAGGTCGAGCGTTTGAAGGAGCAGTTGCAACAGTTGGCTCCAATTCGCAGGCAGACACTCGATCTGGAAGCCAACTTGAACTCGGTCCATCCCATTCCACCTTTTGAGAACAGCACAGGCAAAACATTGAGAAAAGGATTAGGCTTTTGAGTTCTGTTTCGTTAAAACTAAGAACCAAGATCCAGAACCCAAAAATATACCTCGTACAGCCTTCAATTTGTCAAAAGATAAAATGACAAAAAGGAAGTCTCATTACCTTAAAGGATCTCCATTCAAAACAATTCCACTGTGGCGAGAAGTTTTCCCCCACACCGACAATTGTGCCATTGAACTTGTAGTTTATTTAACAAGGATAACACGTTACACGTACAAGTAGTTGGAACACAAATTCTATCCAACAAATTCAAGAGATTAGACCTTTGCTATGTAACTTCCTCATACTCAAATCTCATCGCAACTCTCGTTCGAATGGATAGATGGTGGGTTCGAGCTTTGAGATACTTGTTAACCCTTACAATGAACTCAAACCGACTTGGCCTGCAAACGAAATACTGATTCGCCTCACTTCTAATTTTAGGAGAATGAAAATGAAATCAACAAGAGGAAATCCAAGTAGGCAAGGGGACGATTGGATCACATGTTGTGATAAGGAACTAAGCATTGCTATGCCCTTTAATGAATCGATTGTTGTGTCATAGGCACCAAGGATGGGCCTCGTGCACCTAGCACCTTTAATGACTATATATATATGTTCCAGTATTTAATTAGGGAGATGTAATACCAAGTGAAAGCATAGAAAAAGGAGACACTTAAATAGAGAGATAGTTCCCATCAATAAGAAAGCGCCCACAAGTCATGGAAGCTAAGATTGAGCTACAGAAAGAAGACATAGTATTGCCAGGTCATATAAACCATGTGATTATACATCATATGATTTACGTAGCCACAGTACAAACAAATTTCACAGACATTATGACCAAGTAAGTTATGTTTTTTGTAGAGAAGCTCAAACCAAAACCTGAAAAGTAAACCTGCATCTCAGGCATAAAAACTAATGCATCAACTGCACAAGTTGCTAGATAATGAAGCAAAATGCACGAACTTAGGCTTGTATAGGACGGAAAATAGAGTTCCATTTGAAATCGCATGAGCAGCTGTGGCAAGAATTCCCATATGTGTACTTTGCCTCGATATAACAAAAGGTAGCCTGTTTTGCTGTTGACACATATACCTCCTAAACCCCACACGAAACTCCCCACTTTCTCCTCTTCAAATGCATATAAAAGAAAATAAATCCAACAATGTTTAACCCAATTCCGATGAAATCGAAGACAAGATTATCATGAACAATGAAATTACATACTTTAAGAAGATGAAGGCATCGCCTGCCACTAATCTTTTTGCCTGAGCAAATACACTCCACCCATTCATCAAATGACGCCTGGGTCGACCTATCACAATATTTTAATGCTCATATTAGCACCACAACCAGTTTCCAAATAAACATCACACAAGTAGGCAGATGAATATAAGATATATAATCCCCAGGGCATTATTATACATAAAAGAAGCTAAGATAATCCCCATTCATAGCACATCACTGAAATCGATATTTGGGAGTACAACCTAATGGGAAAATCGTGGATCTTTAAAGACAACACAAGCCATAGCGGAGTTCACAGCTAGTCTTTGTAACTCCCAAACTAACTCACCTCGATAAACGTGACAAAATTGCCACTCATTGCCATGAAGATCTATGGAAACCAAAACTTGGGAAGGGGACGGCTGGGACATATCCTGGTTTAGAGTTGGTAAATAATACAGTTAGTACCAGATAATTTATGCATATACTATAATAAGAATTGTAATGAAAATTTTCCAGATACTAACCAACGGAGGTAGACAATCATCTGCATATTTTCGAGGAATAGAGAACCCTCCATGGGAACTAGCGTCAGAATGTGTAATTATCTTGGAAAAGGAATGGACTTTGCAACCCGCAGGTTCAGGTGGGAGAGTATCAAGACTAGTTAACTCATCAGGTTGATCCGACTCTGGAAGCAAATCAATTTGAGCATAAACTTCATCCGTTTCAGGTTCAACCATGCGGCACACAGAAACAACTTTACACAGGATCTTAGATGGAAGTTGGAATTGATGAGGCACTAGATGTTCTAAACCCTCTGGAACTTGAAGTTGCTCCATGTGGCCTTGTGGGAAATAGGTCACTCTTTCGCATTCCCCGGGAAGGGTAACAAGAGGTCCAGCACATGCATGCCAAAGCTCTTTCCAAAAAGCATCGTTACATACTCCTGCAGAAAATATGGCATCAGCTAGCGTACTATTGCATGACGGTACAGCAAGCAGGATACTTACAATCATGACAGTGTAACCCTTTTTCCTCGTTTAAATTTAGCCTGACTATTGCATGAATATAAAGCAAAAAAGATATTAACCGTGACAAAAATTAGTCATTTCTCTCTAATAAACTATGCCTATTTGCATAGTCCTGGCAAGGAAATTAGTGCGATAAGGTTGTTTTCCTCATGGGAGCAATTGAAACTAAAAGTGTTATGGAATAGGATTAGCCATCCAGTAGTTCTACTACCTAGTCACATTCGAACTTCATTGGTAACACCAAATTCAGAAAAACTATCAAAGACTGACGAATAAAGCTACAATAAGAAGTGGATGCTTAGATGGGGTTGCCTTCCTGATGAATGATTCGTAGCCGTGCGTGTCATCACTCGATAAATAAGACGAAATTCCCCGCAAGTACCAGTTCAATCTGCAGATATGGTCACAATTAGAGTCAGACATCTATCAAGAAACCTCCTTAATAACTCACTCGTCGTGTATCACAAGAGAAAATAAATTTGGCAGAGTTCCCACTAATTGATGCAGGAGTAGAATAAGTTTGGTAGTGCAGTATTGGGACAGAAACAGAGGACTATAGAGTTTGCCTAAAATTTGCATGCCAGAGTCCAAACCAAAGCAAGGAACTTACGGATAGCCAGTCGACGCTAGTTGGAAGATGATTGTAGGGAGAACCCCAGTACGGTGAAGAAAACTTGAAAGGAAGGATCGGCTTCGGGAACTGGAGGGAAAATCCAAATATAGTGGCGAACTTTTGTTGTGTAAAGCGCCGGCACCACAATGCACAACCAACCTTATTATTTGTTTCTTTATGGGAAAAGAAAAGGAAGGGGTAGAGTTTTGACCTTGGGAAGGTTTTTGACGCCAGAAAGGGTAAGAATTGAGGGTGTTAGTTGTGGATGGAGAAATTATATGGGAATTGGACTTTTCTTTATTTGATGGGCCTGCTTATAGTTCTCTTAATTAGTTTTGTCGGCCAGCCAGCCCATAGAGTCTAGTCACATTGAAACCCGCGTGCCTATAGAGTCTAGTCACATTGAAAAAAATGCCACCGAAGTAATTTTTTTTGGTTTTCTTGATTCGGTTAGGTTTGGATTCCAGATTTAATTATTAAACAAAAGGCAGCCAATGCATGTCTTAGGTGGTAACACTTTTCAATCGAGCTTCGTATTACCCTGCTAGCAAATCAGCCCAATTTTCCACGTGTTCTCACCAAATTTAATCAATTAATTATTCATAATTAAACGCTTAAACCTACCGCAACTGCTGCCTATACTAATGGAATACTAACAAAACAACTATTACTTAATAAACCAAAACGAAACTTATGGCTCTCTTGTCTACAAGTACATCCCTGATATATATTTTTATTAAACATTGAAATTAGTATTAACGACTATCATCAACGAGAGGAAATGCTCCCTCGTAGAAGGTATTAACGAGGGGTAAAAATGTAAAATAATTTATTGTTGTTAATGGCTTTTAATGGGGGCAAAGCCTATTACGAGAAGAGGCTTCCCGTCATTATTAACCTTCAATGGGAGAAAATGGCCTTTTAACAACTGTTTACTCCTCTCGTCGAAGTCACTTTTTTTTGTAATGGATGCATAGATCCTACATAATCGATAATCACAATTACATAAAGACAAACCTTCATAATGAGAAACATATAAACATAACATGACATTAAAGACAATCCAAACTTAAGTCCCGCCTTCTAAATCAACCCAACTACATAAACCATTCAAATGAAAATAGTCAAACTACCACATCACATTCATACCATAATATTTGTCCAAAAAAAAAAACATTCATACCATAATACAAGCCTCATTCCAGCAATTGGAGTTGAAGCTTTTTTTTTTTTATGTGAAAGACAGGTGCTTAGCACCCAAAACTTTTATTCAGCAATCGAGCGAATGGTAAACCCACCCATGGAGTCAAAAAGGGCCCAATGGCAAACATCCGAGTCTATAACATCAATCAAATGGGTTCCAGGTGAGTGACCCGAACATACCACTCTCTGCGCAGCATGTTCTGAAAGCGGATGGCAAGGTTGGCGTGTTGATGGCTATGTCGGCCAGAGTGAAGAAGCAGCGCGAGTGCAGTCTTGGAATCCAGTTGCAGCTCCACCTGGCGATGACATGCCTCCCATGCTAGCTTCAGGCCCTTTAGTGCCCCCCAAATCTCGGCCCGGGTAATGAAACATCTTCCCAGGTTCATCGTATAGGCCCCCAACAAATGACCCTGCCAGTCTCTAAGCGCTCCTCCTGCCGTGGTTGACCCAGACCGTCGCAGGAGCGACCCGTCCGAGTTCACTGTGATCCACCCTGTGGAGGCCAGTTTCCACCCCACGGTCATGTCTCGACGCGACCCCGACCTCCCCAGTGAAAGGTTGTGTTCCGCAGTACTACTCTATTGAGCGACGACCTCCTAGGCTAGGATCCTTTGCGATAACTTGTTGGGGGCTTCTACGATGTCTGAAAAAATGAAGCCATTCCGAGCACTCCATCGAAACCAACAGGTAAAATCAAAACGAACCTGGTTCTGGGGGCACTTAACTGCCTCTGTGAACAACTCCAGGAAGCTGCGGGTGTCGTTGAAAGAGATAATAGATGGAAGGAGCTCCCGCCAGACTTCCTGCGAGAAGCTGCACTTGCGAAGAACATGATCAAGCGTCTCTTCCTCGGCTCGACATCGTGGGCAGGTAGCTTGGGCAGCAATGTGACGGCGTGAGCGCTCCGCGTTGGTCAGCAGGCGCCCGTGTGCTGCAAGCCATAGGAATTGACAAACGCGGTTGGGTCCCGGCCATTTCCACAGCTTTCTCCACGTAGACGTTGCTTCGCTTCCGTCAATTTCCACAACCATCCGGTATGCTGACTTGAGGGAGAATTGACCGGAGTGCTACAGTCCCCACACTAACTCATCCTCGCCGAGCTCCTCCCTGGGAACGGGCATTCCTGCCACCTGCAATGCCAGCTCAGGAGGTAAGTACTTCTCAATAATATCCATACACCACTCACCATTATTTGTGGCCAAATTCGCCACACACGCGTCCTTGGTGAAATGGTCATCGACATTGGTGGTGTGGACCGCAAGAATCACGCCACTATCAAGCCAGCTGTCCTGCCAAAAGAAAGTCCTCCTACCATCCCTAACACTCCATCGGACTCCACCATCCATGAGTTCCCACACCCGCCTGATCCCTCTCCACAGCACCGTATGACCAGTTTTCTTGCGAGCATTAACAACACCATTAGGTCCCTCCTTAAGATACTTCTTCATGAGGATCCGTACCCAGAGTTCATCGAGACGCTTAAGAATGGTCCAAGCAAGCTTAACCAGGTAAGCAGTATTCAAATCTCGAGCACTTCTCAACCCCAGCCCACCCTGATCCTTCGGGCGGCAAATGGTGTCCCAGTCGATCAGGTGGATCCGTCGCCGACCCTGCTGTGAGCCCCAAATGAATCCCTGAATACGCTTGTCAATGTACTCACAGATGGCAGCGGTCAGGACCGACGTTTGCATCGCATACGACGGGATCGCATTGAGTACCGTCAAGGCCAGGGTAGCACGCCCAGCAAGGGATAACTTATCCGTTTTTCATCCCGCGAACTTCTGGTCCACCCCATCAATGAGATACTGGTAGGTTTTCCTCGTGACTCTCCCATGAAAAACCGGGACCCCCAAGTATCTGCCAAGGTCCTGTGTCATTGGAATGCCGAGACTATCTGCGAGCTGCTGACACTGATCACGCTTGACATTCTTGGAGAAGCATACTCGTGACTTTTCCTAGCTAACTAGTTCCCCCGATGCATCACAGAATTGATCCAGGAAATCCATGATCACCTTCACCTATTCCTGCGAGCCTCAGCAAAAAGAACAAGATTGTCAGCGAAAAAACTACGAGTGAGTTTCCTACCTCCACGGACAACCCATAACAGCTCGAGAGAACGTCGGCGGCAGCCCCACTCTCTGCAGAGTATCTTCGATGAACCCCCACCGAATGTGATCATAAGCCTTGGCTAAGTCGATCTTGAGCACCATCTGTCCCTTCCCACTTCTCTTGGAGTGCATCAAGTGGACAACTTCTTGCAGAATAATGATGTTATCCTGTATATGTCTCCCGGGAACAAAGCTAGTCTGTTTTGGGGCTACCAGCTGCTCCATCAAAGGCTTTAGTCGATTGGCCAAACATTTAGCAAACGTCTTGTACGCGACGTTGCAAAGGCTTATGGGCCTAAAATCAGCCACTCTCTCCGGGTGGGAGGTCTTCGGAATGAGCACCAGCAAGGTCTCATTGACTGTCCCCACAAGCTCCGGAGTTTTGAAGCAATCGGTCAAGTAGCGGACAAGCTTCTGGTCCACCGTCGTCCAGCACTTCTGAAAAAATAATGGCTGATACCCATCCTTTCCTGGTGCCTCAAATGCCCCCATAGACTTTAGCGCAGCTAGGATCTCTTCCGCCTTGAGGTCTTCCGCAAGCCACTCCAGCGACTCTGCAAACGAGGGAAATGAGTCCAACAGGGCTGGCGCCTCCCCGACCACCTCCTAATACAACTCGACATAGAACTCTCGTACCATGACCTGGAGCTGGCGAGAATCTTCCACCCAATCATTCGACACTGACTTGAGTCTGCGAATGCGGTTCCGGCAACGCCGCTTCAGGGTGGACAGGTGGAAGAACCTAGTGTTGCGATCACCGTGCACGAACCACTTCTCCCTGGACTTCTGGTACCACAAGATCTCCTCATGCTTAAGTACTTCCATCAGCTCGTTCCGGGTACACTCCTCCTGGTGGAGGCTGGCCTGGGAGGGCGCTCGCTCATTCCGCTCATCCAACGTAGAAAGAAGGTTTGTCAGCTTCCTCTTCTTCACTAGGATGTTGCCAAACACTTCTTTGTTCCACTTGTCGAGTGCCGAGGTGAGCTCAGTCACTGCCTCATTGTATTCTGAGCCTGCTGCCCAACCTTCTTGTAGAACGCGAGGGAAATCTTCAAGGAGGAGCCAAGGAGCTAAGAACCGGAAAGGATAGGGCGATGATCCGACTTGAGCTTCGGGAGGTGGATAGTGTATGTCTCCGGGAAGCTCTGCAGCCAGTCTGAATTACACAAAGAACGGTCCAACCTTTGCATTAGGGAACCCCGTTGCCAAGTGAAACGTGGCCCAATGAACTCGACATAAAAAAAACCCACACTCATCAACGCAAGCCTTGAACTCTCTACTAGGAGCCATGTTAAACGGCGCACCACTCTGCTTCTCCAGAGGCCCCAAGAGGGCGTTGAAATCCCTAGTCAGCAACCAGGGGCCATCCACTTTTATTTCCAGCTCCCTGATATTCTCCCACAGGGCACGCATGGAGCTTTGGACGGGGCTCCCGTACGCTGTCGTAAGATAACCTGTCTGTCCGCTGCGTAGGTGGATGCGCATATGTATGGACTGAGCCGATCGAGAAACCTCCTCCATCATCACCTCACCCTCCTTCCACAGGACCCATATGCCACCTGCAAAGTCGTTAGCCTCAACGCACTCTTCCTTGTCAAAACCCTTTCTCCCCCGAATATCTTTCGCCGAAGCACCACTGATCTTAGGCTCAGTATTGATGGCGATGTCCGGTCTATGGCCCCTGTAAAACTCCTTAAACGTAGTGAGAAAGTCGGGGTCAGAAGCTCCCCGACAATTCCAAGCAAAAATTCTTGACATAAGAAAAAAGGTAATGGACACAACACAAAGCGCTAAATGCTAAAAGACAAGAAATGCAAAAAGAAGACTTCCACGAGGAAAGCCAACTCAAACTCTGCATGCATGCACGTCCATTTGAGACGTGTCCTGCCCCTATGCATTCGCACCATGGCCGCTTCTTGTGATAGCAGGTTGCGACACCTCATTCCCTAACTCTGACGTCGCCGGCTGCCCCGGACCGGGGTGATTTAGTCCCACTGTCACCGGGGCGTCATTCAAGTTGAGACTCCTCGCCACCCCTTTGGGATCGTCGCCGGCTGCTTTCGCACGACTAGATTGGGGTGGGGTAGATGGAAGAGGATGCCTGACCCACGTTGTTTCTCTTGAGCTTTGTCCATCTTTTTAGGGTCCCTCTTCTCCATTCCCTTGGATTTATTATTAGCCTGACTTTTGCCCGTTCCTGCTTTTTTGTCGCCCTTCGCCACCACTGTCTGTTTGCTCCCACCAGCATCCTTTCTCGTACTCATTTTCTTAGGTTTATCGACTGTAGATGCGGCCCCTCCGATTGTTTTATCTGCCTCCAAACTCACCCTAATAGATCCTTGTTCCCCAACCTTCTCTGTATCCCCCTGCACTTCCATTGAAACCTCATCCTCTTCCATGCTAGTATTCATCTCCTCAACCATGACTTTCTTTGATGCTGTCGCCAATGCGCTCGGGTGTTCGGTCAGCTCATCATTGAGGTCCTCAAGAATATTGATTCTTGACCCGGAGCTTGCTGGTGCTGAAGTTCCCGGACCATTACCTCGACGGGGATCCCTACCAGTAAGCTGTTCACGCGGGTTGCTTCGACGTCGGTTCCTCATAGCCAACATCCAAGGTCCAAAGTCCTCAAAAATCTTTGGGATCTCCTCCTCAATCTTCCTTTGTGAGACCACGCGTTGTGCGCGTTGGAAATCCTCAGGCGTGGGCTCCGGGACTTCTCTTTTGGGGCAGGAGGCCTCATTATGGCCAAATCTTCTGCAACTAAAGCATACATTATGCAGACCCTCGTATTCAAGCCTTCTGACCCTCCTCTCCAGTTTGTACTTAATTATTAATGGCTTGGTCAAGTCCACCTCGACACAGATTCGAGCAAAATGTCCTCTCGACGCATCACGAGTAGCAGCATCCATCTTGACGTAGCGAGCGATGGAGTTTCCAATATCACTCAAGATCATGGGGTCGAAGTAGTCCATGGGTAATTTCGGCAGGCGAACCCAAACCAGGAGATTGGTTAGGACGTCGTCTCCTTCATCGGGGTCGAAGCCACTTTTCCATCGTCGAGCAAGGATATAGTGATCCTCGATCATCCATAGACCCTCGTATAAGGCTCTATCATAGTCACGCTCCGTCGTGAACCGAACGGAATAGAAGCCCTGCCCTATACTGGTTACGAATATTGTTCCTGTTTTGGCCCATATGGACTGCAGGCGCCGTTGAAGAAAGAGGAATGTGAACGAACGACCAAGGACCTTGACAATGATCGCCCTGTGATGACTTGATATATACACATATTTTTGTCCACCATTCTTATACCATTTGAGTGTTATTTCTCGTGTTTTAGGCTGATTTCACACTAGGTTGTTCTTGTTTGTGATATTTCATGCCCTAGTACGTGAATAAAGGTTTGGGAACGAGTTCGGGGTCGATTGGACGAAAATTGGACGTTTGGCGAGAAGCTGAGAAAGCCACACGCGCATGCCTAAAATCCCACACGGCCGTGTGACCTGGCCGTGTGACACCAAATTGCACGGGCATGTGGCCGTGTGAAGGCTCGATGAATGTCACACGGGCATCCTGGAAACTCACACGGTCGTGTGGTTTTGGCCGTGTAGCGAACCCGAACCCACTTAATCGAAATGCCGCGTTTTGCACACTCACACGGGCAGCTGGGAAAGCCACACGACCGTGTTGCCTGCCCGTGTGGTCGGGAATTTCTGGGTTTTAACCCAATTTCGAGCCAAAGGAGAGGGGCTCGACTTTTTGGAGCAAAAACAGAGCCCTCGAGAGAGAAAGTGCGAAGAACACACCCTAAAGTGGTTTTGGAGCTGGGTTTCATAAATCAAGCTTGGAAATCATCCTTGGAGTGAAGATCATCATCCTAAAACAGATTCTTCCCATCGTTATGAGTATGACTGCTTTGTATTCTGTTTCCCTCTCTCTCTCTCTATGGAGTAGAACCTTCTCTCACTTGGGTATGAAGAACCCTAGCTCTATGTGTTAGGGATCTTGATTGTAATGACTTGGGATTGTTATACTATTTATTTTAATCGAATGATGCATGATTTGTTGAATCAATTGAAGTCTGATCATCTTTTCTTGATTTTTGCTGCAACCTGAGATAGATAGAATCTGATTAGGTTGTTAGAGCTTCATCCTTCGGTAGTGATAGATTGTCAGCTTTCTATCCAGGTGAAGACTGGTCGTCTGCCGGGTAGTTGGACTGAGAGGGCTTGGTCAGCTTAAGAGATTCCAAGCTACTGTCGGATCTTCCGCAGTTTAATCAACAGTAAATCAACCCAGGGTAATTACAACTGAGACCTAACTAAGGAGCTAGGGGGGACTCATTCCCGAGTGACTCTTCCTTTACTTCAGAAAACCGAACCATTTCCTGCTTTCTTACTGCTTTTACTTAAATCAACAATCACTTGACTTAGTTGGCTAGATAATAGATATTCACGGAGTAGGCAGTAGATCTAGACCCCGGGTTGACATTAAAACTTGCCTGTTACTGCATTTCCGGACTGCGATTACACTTGGTCGCAGTTTGGTGTTGTGTTTTAGCGTGTCAAGTTTTTAGCGCCATTGCCGGGGACCCTCTAGGTTATTGGGGAAACGTGAAAGTTTGTTACTCTAGCTTTTTCTTTACATTTTCTCTCTTCTACCTGTATGCCCTCATGGGTTGCTTTTGCTGGTTGTGTGCATGTAGTGCATGACCCGTAGCCAGTCGGGAGAACTACTACCATTAGACCTTAGCACATCTGCAAATCACAGAGGAAGAAGAGATGGGGGGACCCACAGAACCATGATGTGGTCTTTCCCGAGGAGCAAACCATGGGGTACTACTTTGAGGTTAGCACCTCGGTCATCGCTATGTTGCGCAGCTTGGTAGTATTCCGTGGCAAAGAGGGGGAGTGCCCCTGATCACATCTGAGGCGATTCCACGAGCTCATCGATGGAATCAAGATAAATGGAGTCCCACCCGATGCCATCCAGCTGAGGTACTTCCCATTTACTCTGGAGGGGCAGGCCAAGGAGTGGCTAGACACTCGACCTCCAGGCTCGATCACCACGTTCACCAACCTGGCGGACAAGTTCCTCACTCCCAACCATCCCCCGTCCAAGACGGCGGACCTTCAGAAGCAAATTACCCAGTTTGCTCAGGATGAAGATGAGACCATCCGTGATGCTTGGGAGAGATACACCAGTCTCTTCCTCAAGTGTCCCAACCATGGTTTTACCGACGCCTTCAAGGTGGGCACCTTCTACCATGCCCTCTTCCCGGAAGACAAGCAGCTGATTGACTCGGTCTGTGGTGGGAATATGCTCACCAAAACACCGCCACAGCGGAATCAACTTTTTGAAGAGATGGCAGAGCAGGGCTATGATTGGGGAACTGCGAGGAGATCGAGATGAGCACCAAGGCGGGGTGTGCATGCTGTAGCCACCCAGTCATCTGATTTGGTGCAGGTGGTATCGAAGCTGGTTTCAGCCATCGATCGATCTGGAATGATTCCAGGGACCGGACACCAGCAGGCGATGCACTGCCAATGGAGCGAGAGCACCCATCACACTGTGGAAGACTGCCAGGCGATAAGGGAGTCGACTACACCCCAGGAGCAGGTGAACTTCATCAATAATGCTAGGCGCAATGACCCCTACAGTAACACGTACAACAAGGGGTGGCGCCAACATCCCAACTTCTCCAAGGCTGGGGCCAATCCTAGATCACCAGCCTCCCAAGGACCACCAGGCTTCCAGAGGCCGCCATATCAGCCCAGACAGGGGCAATTCCAGCAACAGCGGCTGTCTCTCTACCAGCCCATGCAGGGGCATGCTGCTCAACCACAGCCGCGACCCTTCCAGCAGCCAGGTGCAGCCCTTGCAACCCCAGTGCATAATGATCTGATAGCTGAACTGCGGGACTTGGTGGGTTCTCTTGCCAGTTCTAGTGCTCAAAAATTCAATACTATCGAGCAGTTCATGGAAAAGGCCTCAGGCAAATTCCTGGCTCTTGAAGCTGCCCAGAGGAACACACAGGCTGTCTTGCATTATATCCAAACCCAGCTTGGGAGTGTGGCTCAAGCAGTGGCACAGAGGGCTCCAGGTACCTTGCCAGGTCATACCATTCCTAATCCGAAGGACCCGAATGCCCACTGTAATGCCATCACAACAAGGAGCGGCAAAGTGACTGCAGACTCACCTGTCCTGGCCAGACAAGCGGGAGGTAGACCTGCCTCGGCATCTCCAGCTATTGAAGAAGAAGTGGAAAAGGAGGTTGAGGTGCCTGCGCCTAAGCCGCAACCAGTAGTGAAGGAGTATATCCCTCAACTCCCCTTTCCCACTCGGTTGCACAAAGACAGGCTAGAGGCAGAGTTCGGGAACTTCATGACCATGCTTAGGAAACTGAATGTCCAAGTGCCCTTCCTGGAAGCACTATCTCAAATGCCTAAGTATGCGAAGTTCCTGAAAAATCTTCTCTCAAAGAAGCAGAAGCTGAGTGAGCTGACCACTATGGAGCTCAGCGAGGAGTGCTCGGCCATTCTGCAGAACAAGCTTCCGCCGAAGCAGACGGATCCAGGTAGTTTTACTATCCCGTGCTCTATAGGTAAATTGCATGTAGAGAGGTCCTTGGCGGATCTAGGTGCTAGTATTAATGTCATGCCATATAAATTGTTCAAGAAACTAGGCCTAGGTGAACCCAGTGCAACTAGGATGAGTCTTCAATTAGCTGACCGATCTATAGTTCATCCTAGGGGCATAGTGGAAAACTTCTGGCCGGTTAAGGTTGGCAGATTCTTTTATCCTGTGTATTTTGTTGTCTTGGACATCAATGAGGACACAGAAGTGCCCCTTATACTGGCAAGGCATTTCGTGGCCACCGCCAAGGCTCTCATAGAAGTACATGATGGGACCTTAGTCTTGACGGATGGCGAGGAGCGAATAACCTTTTCCATTGCTAATACTCTCCCTGCTTCATCGCCTCTGCATGCTGTTTCTTACCAGGAGCACGAGTCTGTCGTGTATCCTTCTGTGCTTTCCATTTTGCAGGATCCCTCTCACATATCTTCGTCGCCACTCCCATCCACTCCGTTACCAAAAGACGGAAACCACTATGAGTTGGTCCTGCCTCCTGAGCCTCGACCGCCTTGGCCATCCGAGTATTCACTCGCTTGCATCCTGCCGGATGGCCAAGTCGAGTTGACGAGTGCTGGTGACCACATTCGTCGTGTGCATGGCTACCACCTGAAGCTGTACCTTAAGAGCGATGTGGATTCGCTCTTGGAGGCACATGTTCCTTCACCTCTCTGAGCATGCACCCTACTGGCGTCCAACTAAAAGACGGTAAAGAAACGCTTGTGGGGAGGCAACCCCACCAAGGTTTGTTTTTCTTTCGTTTTTTTTTTCGGTTTGTCCACTTGGAACTATGGTTTCTATCACCCAGTGTGTTTTGCTGATGCTAGCCCAGCTGACTGGTCCACTTCCAGTCCCCCGACAGTCTTTCCATCCGGTAACATCGTTCCCCTTCTCTTTCCCTCTGCTCCATTGAGGGCAATTTCGTACTTAAGTGTGTGTGTGTGGGGGGGGGGGTGCTTTGTATCGGTTGGAGTCTATATATGTGTGCTTGGAGCCTAGTCCGCTGTCCAAATCTCGAGATTTGAGGGCTCCAAGTACTGTTGTTTGCTTGATCGTATTGGCACTGTGATTTGATTGGTGAATCGAATGGTTTTTCGGATTCGGATTATTGCATGACAACTTGATTGTAACTAGGACAACCTATGATGATGACTGAGACGTGCAGTAAAATTGTGTAGGGTTCAGTTTTTCAATTATTTGCTTACCAACTGTGAATTGGATTGATCACTTGTTCTTGACAGTCGTTTATGCATCTAGTACAGGGAATCAGAATGAGAGATAGAGCATATAGGTAGCCATGTGAGATTTGAGCCTGCTCGTTTCTTTCTTGTGCGATAGTTCCCTCTTCCATGATGTGTAGCATTCACGTTGTCATTAGGTAAGATGATGGAGGCATAGGAATAGCCCACGACCAAATTGACTGTCCTGATGTGTAATATCCCCTGGTCAGCCCTTTGAGCCGTGTGTTATCCTTTCTTTCGGTCTACAATGGAAAATCACCCTTTTGCATCTCTTAGAAGGTTCCACAGAGTGGTTTTTACATGTTCTCTGCTATTTCTACAAAATATAATGTGAGGGTTGGAGGTAGTTCTTAAAAAGTTGGTCATGTGTTTGAAATGTGTGCATAGGTGGTGGT